ATCGTACTATAACACATATTAATGATATCATTTTAATAGATTCTTTCCAATAAACTATGTAGATATTTATTTATGTAATTGCCATATCAAGATTAAACCAACAATAATATATACTAAATAGTACATCCTACTTACTAATACTATTATTATTGACGATCTACTTACCAACATTAGTTATTATATTTACATATCACTCACTAAAATTTAATTGTGAATAGAAATATCATATATTTAATGAAAAATGTTCAAATAACATTTTGAAATCCTAATTTTTTATATTATGCATTTAAATCTAAACCAAATATGCATTATCATATAAAAAGTATACGCTCTCATAAATGAATAATAATAAATGTCTTTGGCAAAAATTTAACTGAAAACATAACTATTTTCAATATGTATAATTAATAATCTATTATATGTAGATTTAAAAAAAAAAAAAAAAAAAAAAAAAAAAAAAAAAAAAAAAAAAAAAAAAAAAAAAAAAAATTGTTTGGTACTGTACTTCATTCTAATATTATACTTTAATGCAAAATAATGAATTTATTTTTATTGATGTCAAATATGGTAGTTTAAAAAGCAATTTATAAAAATTATTCACTAAATTCTTATGCTAATTTCAATCATATGAGAATCTATTAGTTTTCCCATTATGAACTATATAAAACTAAAATCTATGATTTTATTATTGTTCATTAAACATGATTTTTTACCTTTTGATAATCTTTTATCATTAATACAGCAACTGCTTTTTACTTTAATAATTTTAATGATATACATTATAACAATGTTAGTGTATATTTTTAATATTGTGAAAGATTTTTTTTCTTTTTTCTCTTTTTCTGTTTTTTCTTTTTATTTATTTATTTTTTCTTTTTTTTGAAAAATGTTGTACTCATAATCTTGAAAGATATATATTAGAACAAATTAAAATTAAAAGTTATTATAATTTCATATTTGTCTGGTTTATTAAATATAACTACAACATTTTTCACAGTATACAAATAGAATTAAACAATTAAATAAAGTATAATGTCAAACTATAAGTATTCTATTTTATTTTCATTAATTAGTAATTTTCAGATTTACACGCACACGCACACATATATATATATGTGTGTGTGTGTGTGTGTATGATACTGATATAATATATATATATATATATATCAAATTCAACAAAAAAGTATTAAGTTTTCAAAAGTTTCCTGATGATTATCATAGAAAAATTATTTGAAAAGTTTTATTACAAGTATACCACATTTGACTATCATTTTACTTATTATTTACATGTATCTGATAGCTCTACTACTATTACCTTAGAATTTCTATACTGCCTTTGCAATCATTAATTTTTTATTTATTACAGATCCTATGTCCCTATTGCTTGATATGCCATGCTACCTATATCATAGCAGGTTCTGCTTTTGTTAAATCTACAGAAACAGTATGACTGATTGTGGCAACATGTGTTGCTGTTCCACTATTATCAGAATTTACAATGTTTAATGATAAAATTTTGGCACGTTGATAAGCCACTACTGTGTTCAAACTCAAAAATCTAGAAAGAATGATATTAATGGTAATAATAAAATAATTATAATAATTTTCAATAACTAGAATATATGTCTTTAAAGAAAATATATAATGTTTTCACATAAACTTACCTTATACAAACATACATTATCAACAGAGCAGCACCAGCTGCAAGCATCCTAATAATGGGACCTTCTACAAGTTGTATAATTGTCCATGCAGCTGCAGAAGATGCACACATTGTAGTAACAATTGCAATAGTTTGAAGGCAATGTTTCGTTGTTAAACTATTTTGCCAATCCAAACGGGTAGCATGTTCCACATTATAATTGGTACCACATATCTTGCAAGTAAGACTATCTGCATTAACTGAACTCTAATAAAGTAAATATTAAAAAGAATTTATTACTCATAGACAAAAAGAATTGATTAAAAGATCTAATTGTATATTATATGTGTGTGTGCGCGCGCGCGCGTGTATATATATATATACACATATATTAACGTACCTCAACAAGCCATCTACGCAAGCAATCATGATGGACTGCACTTACATCGCCTCTACATTGACACGGCTGTATCAATGGACCAACATCATGTCTGTCATTGTCATAACATATCCAACAATCTTTACTATTGATTGATGTTCCATCAGTAAGTACAGCAGATTCTTGTGCTGAACACTTATCTTGCAATTCAATTTCTTTCATATGTTTTGTTTGATCAAGATCTAGCCTTTTCAAAATTCGTTTTGGATTTAAAATCCATAATTGTTCAGGACTATAAGAAAAATACAAAAGTGAAATAATAATTACACTAAAAAACATAAAATACTGGCAGCATAAATTTTCTAAATAGAACTCACCTCATACAATTCCATAAAACACAAGGAAACCATAATGCTACACCAACTTCTATTACACGAAACACAACATCATGCCAATTTCTGCTATATAAGGGAACTCTAAAATATTGAATATTCAATATATCAATTAGGTATATCAGTTTACATTTTATTGTTTTTATATTTTTCATTTTTCTCACTTTGTTTTCCAAAATTCGCTGAGTGTTTCACTAAATAAAAATCCAACCACGATAAACAACATGAATGCTTGAGATAATAAACCAAATCTAGATTGATGTAATTGAGAAGTATTCACTTGTTGTTGCATGTGTAAAATATCAGATGTAGATGGTTGAGAATCGAATAATTTAGCTGTAACTTGATCTTCATTTAATAACTTTGATTCATCTGGAGTACGTATATTTGTTGCAATAGAAGCAACCTGGTACTCATTTAAAAATCCACCTCGAACCTGGTAGAAAAAAATTGCATCGATTATTTTAACAAAGTCTTCAAAATGATATGACATATCTTAATCGTGCTAAAAGACAATAACATGATAGAAAGATAAATACAATAAAAATTATTTATCTCAAATATACTGATAGTATTAACATACCTTAAAGTATACTTCCACTCCATATATCAAAAAAAATATGACAACAATGAATAAAAGTACCGCATAGCATCCATTAAAAATATGTGTATAATAACTCTGGAAAATGTTCTAATATAAATATAATATCCTATGTACTATAATCTCTACTGCATATAAATATAAAAGATCATGTTTAATAGAATATTTATATATATGAAAAATTTGACAAGAGGCGGCTTACTTGATCTTCTTGAGAATTTATTTGTGCAATGACAAATTCGGCTAATAATAATGAATATGTTATTATATTAAATACAACAAATGCTAAAAAAGATTTTGATAAAAATTGCGGTTTATCCCATTGAACATCTCTCAGGTGGAAAACTTCAGCCCAAAAACATACAATTAAGGATGAACCACTTAATAAAAGTGGATAATATGCTGATAACAAACTTCTTGACCAACCTTCTTTGAATGCAGTCTAAAGAATGAAAATAATATTAAATTAATTGTAATATCAAAGATATAAACTCATAAAACAAATGAATGTACTGACCGGAGAAGTAAAGTATGCTCCACGTATTACTGATGCAAGGAAAACTACAAAATATAACACTTTTTGAGTAGTAACTCGGCAAGCTCTCAGAAATGAAGGTGCCTTCATCTTTTTCCATTCAGCGATAATACACATCACAAGTTGAATAAGACATACGAATGCCAATATAAAGAAAATAGATGCAAATGCTATATAATAACTTAGGTTTGGTACATGGCATTCAGGTCCATCGAATTGGATCTGAACAAAAAAATATATACATATATCAATATAAGTAAATATATATATACATATATATATATATATATATATATATATATATATACATGTATATATTAAAAATTAGTTATATCTATAATAAAGAGATATTACTTCACATAAGCAAGTGCCATTATGGCATTCACCATGTCCCGAACAATTTTCAATTCCGCAACTGTTGTTCCAAGCCATCATTCCAAATTTAACCAATAATGATAATGGATTTTGTGTACTCAATGCGATCATTTGTTCCATGATCAATTTTTATAGAGCAAAATTGCTCTAATATAATTTTCTATAAATATATATATATATACGTATATCTTTTTATAGATGAAAATAATATTGTTTGTGACGAATTAAATTCAGAATTAAAATTATAATTATTAACTCACAAAAGTAATAAAGAACAAATGTTAATTTAATAAAAAATCTAATTAAGAAATTAAGGCAGATCTGATGGTTCTTTTAGACACTTGTATACAAGCATTATAGTATCACATAGTATATATTCTATTTTGAATAATATCGAAAAATAAAGTTGTCTTGAATAAATTATTCTTTGAAAATGCATTATATATTGAAGAAATTAGATAAACAACATTATAGAGTAATAACTCTGATATCTACTAATATATTATACATACTGTATTAACAGAATATATGCGATTCTCCGTTGCTATTACTTTTGTATACGAAAACGTAAATCGTAAAGTACAAATATGCAGACAATCGAGAATGCGAAAATTTATTACATTCGTCAGCTGTCACTTTCAATACGTTCTTATGAGGTGTTGACATTAAATAAAACGCGTATGAAACATTTCACTTGATTAATTGGAAATGTGGAAAATGAATGACGCAGTTGGATGCGCAGTAAATACAATGGGGAATATCAAGTTACTTATTTTAGGACATTCCCTACATATAGGATTTAATTTTTCTTTTTCTGATTAATGATGAAATATATATAATCCAAACGCAAATAAGAAATATAGAGTGAAAATTCATTGATTAAGATGCCATTTTTAAATAATTTGGTATTACGAAATGCATTTTATGAAAATTTTTACTATGCAATATTGTCATTGGTTATATATAATATATAGTATCAGTTGAAAGCAACGCGTTCATTGGTTATCATATACATCCAATAGCGTGCGCAATCGCATGAAATTGCGTGTTCCTTCGTTTTCGCGCTGTTCGTTTTGACTAATTTTAATAGTATTATATAGTTCGTGTTGATTCGTGTTCAATGTCCATAAAGTGCACGTGAGAGGTTCACTTTATCGAGCTACTGAAGGATAATAATTTAAACTTTGAAAAGAGAGAACAAACGTGTACTTTAAAGAATTTTCATACTTGTCGGGCTTATTTAAAAATGGCGTGGGTTTTTGGTTATCGTGACACGAAAAAGCCACAGGATTTTTCTCAATTTATTGAACCACCGGCATCGGGCAAAGACGGTGGTGGAGATGGTTCTTCTTCAAAAAATTTTATGAAATCTCAAATGGAAGCTTATAGATTTGATTCGAGCGCATTAGAAAGGGCGGCTGCAGCTGCCAAAGAACTTGAAAAATCTTGTATGTTTATTTTTTTCTAAGTAACTTCGACACCGATCTAACATTACATATAGGTTACGTAAGCGAAAATTGATTATGTTTTTTGGTTATAGAAATATGTTCCTTTTCATAAAATTTATATGAATGACTTTATGACGATGAAATTTTTCTTCATTATATAATTTAAACTATTACATATTTGTTAAGAATAACATTCAACGTGTAAAATCATGTACACGTTAAATATAAGGCAAATATATTTGCTAATTTAATTTCGTTTAAATAAAAAATTTAAATTAATTTAAATTAGAAATGTATTAATAACTATAAACAATGCAAAAATTTTGTATAAACAAAAAATAAATTAATAAATGCATATATAATATTAACTAATACGAATAAGATACGTTATGATTGTTGTTCTAGCTCATGCTGTACAAGCTTTGGAACTTTCCAAAATGCAAGAGGTGACTAAACAAGCAGAAATGCAAACAGAACTAAAAAAGTATGAAGCTAGTATTGAGCAAATGAAAGCTGACCAAAAACGTGTAGAAGGAGAAGAGAAACGTAAAACGTTGCAAGAAGAAACAAAACAGCACCAAGCAAGGGCTCAATATCAAGATCAGTTGGCTAGAAAACGTTACGACGATCAATTGGCACAGCAACAAAGAATGAATGATGAAAATTTAAGAAGGCAAGAAGAATCGGTAGCCAAGCAAGAAGCTATGAGAAAAGCCACTATTGAGCATGAAATGGAATTGAGACATAAAAATGAAATGAGAAAATTAGAAGCGGAACTTAAAGCTAAAGCAAAGATTGATAGAGAAAACCAAGATCTTAACTTAGAACAAATTAGACTGAAGGCATCTGAAAATAGAATTACTGTTTTAGAATCTATAAGGTAATTAGTTTAATAAAGTTAAAGTATTTATATTTTCTTTCTAATTTGAATCTGAAAATTGTTTTATCGCTAAATATTTGTATATTTAACGATACTTTTTAGAACTGCAGGTTCGGTACTTGGTACTGGAGTCACTGCTCTTTTACAAGATTGGGACAAAATTCTTGCTGCTGCAGGGGGTTTATCACTTTTGGCCTTTGGCGTATATTCTGCTAAGGGGTCAACCAGTATAGCTGCACGCTATATTGAATCTCGTTTAGGAAAACCATCTTTAGTTCGAGAAACTTCTAGATTTACAGTATTGGATACTGTAAGACATCCTATACAAGCCATTAAAAAGCTCAAAGATAAGCAGACTGATGCTTTATCAGGTGTAGTTTTAGCACCGAAACTTGAAGAAAGATTACGTGATGTTGCAATAGCTACCAAAAATACAAAACAAAATCGTGGAATGTATAGAAATATATTAATGCATGGTCCACCTGGTACTGGTAAGACTATGTTTGCTAAAAAATTAGCAGTACATTCTGGCATGGATTATGCAATTGTGACAGGCGGTGATCTGGCACCTTTGGGTAGAGACGGCGTTACTGCAATACATAAAGTTTTCGATTGGGCAACAACATCTAGAAAAGGTCTATTATTATTTATCGACGAAGCAGATGCTTTCTTAAGGAAAAGATCGAGCGAACATATATCAGAAGATTTAAGAGCAATGTTAAATGCATTTTTATATAGAACGGGCGAGCAAAGTAATAAATTTATGTTAGTTTTGGCATCAAATACTCCAGAACAATTTGATTGGGCAGTGAATGATAGATTGGATGAAATGGTGGAGTTCCATCTTCCGGGTATCGAAGAACGGGAGCGCTTAGTTCGTCTTTATTTTGATAAGTTTGTTCTTCAACCAGCCATTGAAGGCAATAAAAGATTAAAAGTAGCACAATTTGATTATGGTGCTCTGTGTAGTAAAATGGCTAAAATGACAGAAGGAATGTCTGGGAGAGAATTAGCAAAACTTGGTGTTGCATGGCAAGCAGTAGCATATGCGTCTGGAGATGGGGTTTTAACAGAGCAAATGGTGGTAGATAGGTGTATGGAAGCTATTAAACAACACAAACAAAAGGTATTTTATTTGTTTATGAAAAAGCAAAAGAAACATTAAATTTTATGATACAGTTCAACATAAATTTGTTTATGTTTTATTTTAAAGGTGCAATGGCAGAGTGAGCAAGAAAAACAAGAATCCAAATCTATTTATGCGACTGAAGAGAGCAGTGCAAAGTTAATGGAATCTAAAGCTCCAGCAATAGAAGTTCATACAGAAAGAAAAGAAGAAGAAAGGACAATTGCTACAGCTTGATTAAGAAGAACATGTATAAAGTGAAGAACATTAAAGGATTGGTGTATAAATATTAGTTCCAATTGTTGCAGTGATAAGTACAAACATTATTAATGCAGATAATATTCATTTCAGTTGTATATTTTCCATTTTTTAAACAAGTTACAAGTATGATGAAGTTGTATATCATATAATTATTTCAACTGATAAACGTCATTTTAAAAATATTAATTGTATTATCTTATGCATTATTCCAGCGATATAATATATATATAGAAAAAGAGTATTTATAATACATTGAAAAATATTCTTGGATAATTCATAACGATTGTTAACTAATTCGTGCTAATTCTGACAAGTCGATCTATTGATACTTTTACTTATTTACAAATGTACCAATTTTCAAATTATGCGCGTTATGAAATCTCAAAATTTCGAATGAGGAGACGAATGATAGATTCAAATTTGGAAAAATATAAAATATTTAGTAAATAAAAGTATGCTTACATCACTAATGTATTTGGTAATATTAAAATTGTTTGTCCCATCCAATAACATGATTTTTTACGAACGTTTATTTATATTTCATAATTTGAAAACTAGAAAATATTGTTCATTAACAATACTATTTACTTGTATAGTAATTTGTATATATGTAAAACAACATATAATCGTAAATAATTTTACGAAATATGTGGGTTATTTGTTGTTATTCATTACATAAAACATCAAATAAATAATGACCATTCGGTTTTTAAAATAATTTCATCCTATTCCTAGATTCATTAAAAAAATATTAGAATTATGTGTTAAAATTAATAATTTACCTTAACTTGATAATATTTAAATAAATGCGGTATTGTTTAAATAATAGTTAATTATAGTAAAATAATAAATATAATAAGACGGAGGGATATGTTTACTTGTCGAAATAGAAAAGAAGCGTGATGTACAATTAAATTTCAATAGATCGCTAGTACTACCGACCTAAATCTTACTACGTTACTGCATGTGGAGATCTACGAGCTAACGATCTATTCTTTATTCTAAAATTCGCGTTCGCGAGATAATCTAATCGAATTTTCATGGAAATAAAACAAAGTCCCCGATAGAACTTTTAAAAGCGCACGCGAACACCCAGTCGGCCTGTCCCCGTCAACATGCGCGCGAGTGTTCTTCCTATCTTTCCTACATTCTCACGTAAAAATCGACGATGGATCTATTCTTCGATGATCCTTTCTATGACCCTTGATGATTTCTGGAAAAGAAGAAGAGAAAGAGAAGAAATATTAGATAGAGAGATAAACCGTAGAAATAATAGAAAAGAAAACCGCAAAATAATATGCGTGTGAGAACGATGGGGAACTCAGAACGAGAGGTGAAGCCCAATTATTCTTTACTGAAAGGAGTCCCCATCCGAGGGTCCACATCAAAGTGTCCTTCCCTGATGGGCTTTACACGATGCTGAGACACGGTACAGTCCACACAAAGGCCCATATTCATGGGCCCAACCCCATTGGGTATTTAATTTTAAATCGATAGTATAAGATAGTACATGGTCTTTATAATGTTGTTAAGAATGCCCTATTGTTTAAATATTAATTTATTATACTCTGCGCACATATTTAATATTAAAGATACAATTATTTTTGATATCTAAATGTATATAACTTATGCTACGAATACTATTCTCTTGGAGAATCTTTCACTGTTATTAATTAGAACATTATTGGATTTTTATCTAAACTTATTTTCTTTTCTATTCATTAATTACAATTATTTCATCTACGAGATAGAATATTTGATAAAACATTTGAAAAGTATAGTAGAGATACATCGTCTGTACCTGAATATAAAATATTATTTTATCAAATGTGACCCAAGATGCACGACCGACAATGGTAGAATAGTTACTGAGAAAAGATATAAGGAAGCGAGATAAATAATATATGTATGTGGGGGAACAAAAGGTGTGAAAGAAAGTATAGAGTTCTTGTTCCGTCATGCTTGATTTCTTTCGCTTCGCTTGGTTTGTTAATTTCGCGCTTTCATCTTCTTTCTTCTCGCGAAGCAGCGAAGTATACTCTCGTATAAACGAGAAAAGAAGAAACTCAGCGCGTCGGTGGATGCGCTTTCAATTATCCACAGTGGCCAACAAGAGGGTAGGATGGATATACTTGACATTTTCTTTATCATCTTTTTTTTATCTCGATTCGAATCGAGTTTTACTACTGAAAAAAATGAGCTGCTCGTCACCTAATTTTTGACGAGTTTCCTCTCTCTCTCTCTCTCTCTCTCTCTCTCTCTCTCTATTCACGGATACGCGTCGCTTGTATTTATTCTTGTCTCTGGGTTAGGAAAACATTTCTCTATTTCCGCCGTCTTTTTTCGGTTCGGGCTTTACTATTTGCGGATCGTATCTTCTTGGCTTCCGCAGTCGCGCGCTTACACGCGCAGTCATTCAGAAAATCAAGCCATATTTCTTCTCGCACGGACTCACACGGGGACAGATGCAACCCGTTGATGCGAGAGAAGCCTGCTTTCTCAATACCATTGAATTACGGGCTTTTCTCTAGGATCTCTAGGAAAAGAGTAGAAGGGATATCGAAAATAGGTATCGGTGGAAAAAAAGAGAAAGGAGAAGTCGCATCTATATTTGCGTCGCGTGGCAGGTCCCTGCACCGAGTCTACGACACGCGTCCCGACACGCGCCATAATGGGTCACAAAGCGTACTCTTGAAAACGCTTACTGGAGCGTGACTAAATAACCGACCAAGCGCTTGTAGCTGTAAACACTGTGCCTGTGCACGTAAAACGCGTGCGTCAACCAAACTGGCTTCTCTATTTCTCTCCTTTTCTCTCAAATGTTCCTCCGTGTCCTTTCATTCGTTCGTTCTTTCGAGAGGTGCGGCTTATCTCACGTGGGTGAACTACAATTTTCACGGTATATACTACGAATGAACGTGCTGACGCGTCGGGATGGATTAGCTTTTCGATATGCAAGGCTATGCACGTTCCATTTTTTTTTCGTTTTCTCTATCTTCTCGAACTTTTTCAAGATCATTGGCAAGCTCTTTATTCGTAATACCGACCATAAGGTTTTAGATTAGTGTCGATATATCGCAAATATTTTTCATTCGAAGGAGAGAAGCAGAAAAGAGAAAGACTGCGTGCATATTAATCGGGCTTCCTTGGAGAAGACTTCATTTGATCCTAGAACGTGGGATAACGAGGAGGTAAATTGCGTGGAGGAGCATTTTACGTTCTCGATTTGCATAAATATTCTAGGGTGCACGTAGAATCTCGCGATTCTCTGTGAATCGTTAAGCGAGTGAGAGCGTGCACGCGCGTGCCTCTGAGTTTCGCCACAATTTATCTCTTTACATATAGTTGTACTTTTTTCCTCCGTGAAACGAAACTTACGTCATCGCGCGTGTCCGACACTTTGTGTGTAGGACTTTACGAGGAAAAAAAGAGAGAGAGAAAGATATTTCGCACTAGTTCGACTTGCTTAGCTTTCTCGATAAAAGATATTAACGAACCTATTTTATTCAGCTACACCAGAAAATAATTTGCCTGTGATATCGCTCGACACTGCCTACGAGGGGGAGTTATTAAGTACGTTCAATTAGTTTTATTCGAATGAAAAAATTCTTTAACCAACTTCCCTCGCGATCGTAGAAAGTCGAAAGTTTTATCTTTCAACGATGGCATGCGGTAATCGATTCGTTCTCTTCGAGTTCTTCGTGTCATTCATTAGGATCGAATTATACGATGCGATAGTTGAAAGTATTATTATTATTTAGAAGCCTCTAAAACCTAATCGAGAGATTTCTAACGATCATTGTACATTTAAAGTATTTATGGATTTTATGTAAATTAGTTTTTTAAGTTCAAGACAAACTTTATTTCTTTTTGGGATATTCTTCTATTTGGCCATACGACATTTTAAGATCGCTTTTAAAATTGGAGATATCAAATTGACTGGTGTTTGATTTGTCCATTGGCTCCAAATTTTAGCAACATTTCGTATTCAACCTTTCCTACCTCCTCTCTTCATAACTTCTCGAAAAGTGGGGTCGATGAAGCAATCTGATTAGAACTTTTGATTTATAACTTTTTCTTACGTATATTTACTCGCCCGTGTGTGTGTGTGTGTGTGTGTGTGCGTGCGTGCGTGTGTAGGTAGAAGCGGCATTCGGCAACTCGTAGGATCACAAGCGTGCTCGATCTTGTTAAAATTTATTCATGATTCGGCAGCGGGCAAGTTATATCGCGCCGAGGTGAATCCGCCAGCGGGGACTGGTTCGACTGGTCGCGGTCTAAATATTCGTCAAGCTGCCCTATTTTCCGCGTAATGCGATAGGGGCTTAATACCACTCTCTCGGAACGGCACGATCTGATTTATCGTTCGGCGGTATCGACTTTGTGCCCACGAAAGTTAATCCCTCGTAGATCCTTCGAGAAGTCGTTCGAGGAGTCGTTCGAGGAGTCGGTCGAAGAGTCGTTCGTTAACTGCCGGCCCTTTTATCGTCGAGAGGCCGAAGCGTTTGCATTTTTCGCGTTAATAACAAAATTGGTGGGATCGATTAACGCTTAAGAACGTTGTTATATCTCCTCTTTATCTTGAAAACCACTAGAATCCGACGTGGGATCGAAACTTCAGATGTTTCTTCCGAAAGCGATTTCGTGTAACCTCGGCAATGATAGACCCCGGCACCTCGTTCCGGGCTTGTAGGCGGCATTCTCTCGGCCTCGCTTCATACTCGCTTCTACTCTCGTGCACCATAAAGAAGGAGTGAGAAAATTACTCGCCCACCTCCCCGAAACTAATAAGTATTGTCCATCGGGCGCATTGTTTCGATGCCCACGTTAGGACGCGCAACACGTTTGGGAAGAGTTACACTTTAAATTACTCTGCCTGTTAGCTCGTCCGGACGATCGTTTGGTTCGTTAGACGACGCGTTTCGTCGTCGGATAAAAATGTGTAAAAGGGAGAGAAGGGTGCAGATAGAGATCGTGATCCCAGCTTAAAAGGCTCGATTCGAACGTCCGACTCTTGTAAGGCGCTCGTCTTTGCCTGTGTCTTCTGAAATTTATTAATCGAATGAACGCGGGTTCGTTTCTCCACAGTGATTTCCGAGTCCTATAAATATCTCAATTCGTTATTTCTCCGTACCCAGAATGCTCATCCTCGACGATTCTGAATTCGAAATGGCGTGTAAAGGTACGAGTAGATCATACGTCTTTGTATGCCACTTTATGGATACTTTTATGGATACTATTTTGATGGCTACTTTATCTTGACTCTATAAAAGTAACCGGTAAATTGTCACTTTTATGCGATACGAAATTAACCTTGTACGTATGTTGCGCAACACTGTCTACGATCTTAAGTATCCATCGTCGCGATAATGTAGCTATGTAAGGTACATTAAAGTCGCACAATTCTTTACTCACGACTGTGATCGTCAGTAGTATCTACCTTTTAAGAACGTTTATTACGAAACTCAAGGTCG